CAATGAAAAAACGGTGTACAATCATTGAAAGTTGACTTGCGGAACACAAATTTATTAAGCTATAACAAAATCAAACGGATATTTCGATAGCTCTTTTGCATTTTATTTTACTTGGAGCATACATGCAAGCCCACTCTTCAATATATATATAGGCCTATATATGTATATATAGGCCTATATATGTATATACCAATTTGTTTGATTGTTATCGATTTTTTTGTGATTTAATTTATTTTCTTTTATTTGTACAACATCGTTGGCAAATTCAAGGTTATCAAGCGTAGTTATAGATGTTTACATCTTATTATATATTTTTTTCAATGTTCCCCTATCGTTAGCAGTTGACTATGTTTCCGCTAATAAAACACTGGAATACATTTTTTAAATAGGTGTCACATGTCTTGATAAGCAAAAAATGAAAATGTTTAAAAATATGATTGTGACATATATCACCTTTGATTTATTTTATTATTGTCAACTGGAAAATTGTATGAACTTAGCGGATACATCAAATTGCCACGGAGTTAATCATAGCATAAAAGAATTTGGTATTTATTATTGATGACACTGCTGTGTATAGTTAGTGCCTTATAGCATGGTGTTTTTGTAATACCGATATTTATAGAAGCTGACCCTTCCCAAAGGTAAGGTGATACATCTTCATATTCCTAGTTATGTAAGGTACGAAGCTCAATATTAATCCTCGAAGAAACTTTCCGATGTGTCTCTAGGCTGATGTTGGTAAGCGGATTAATAGAGTCAAGTGAAGACGATCGGTTGTCATGGAGAACACTTTCCGTGTCTATTATGAATTCGCGTAATTTGGTAAGAACGCATTAGTAACATAGCGTGTACATGACTACTATAATGGAGTTCGAGAGTGTGTCGTCAGGATATATGCTAGAGGTCGTCAATAGATACATTCACAACATGTACTAAGTAAGATGAATAGTAGTTTATCTTTAGTTTTATTTCAGAATCACGTCATTAGACCTGATGCTGAATGTAGATCTATAGTACGTTATATTAGGCCTGCGTAGAAACTTATCACGTGAAGATAATACTATATCGTGATTAGTTAAGTGTATGTCCACTTGTGTTACTATTGATGTAGGCATATTAATCTTTGATCCGTGTACCATCAAACCTGTGAGTTATAAATTCACCGTAACGAGCCAAGGGACACACACCACTCGCCAATAGATAGTTTTCGCCGCACGACGTTAACCTTAACTTTAACGCAGCGCGATAGCTCCGCTTCTTTTGTAAACAAATTGAAATACGCATGCGCAACCCGTAACTAATGTACGTCGAGCACGTAAAATCCTGAAATTAACGTACTCCGTAACGCTAGATGGATAAATTATGACGTCATCCGTTAAGGTTAACGTCGTGCGGCGAGAACTGCCTAATGATAGGCAACAATCGTGTGTACATTATAAAATTACACGCGTTTAAGTTGTATTTTATAATACGTTCAAAACCTGAAACAATTTTATGCATGTATAATGTAAACAGCATTGAAATTCTAAACCGTCTACTATTAACACTTAATTGGCAAAAATAATTGTTTTCTAAATTTGGATGATAGCCTACGCATTGACCAGCAAGTGAATTAGGTTTAGAAAGACACAAACTGTATAAGACTAACAGATTATGTTAAGATATAATTATGAATATATATTGTTTTTTAGGACATAATTATGAATATATATATCTATATATAATATAAATCAATATTACCGTTAACACTGTTAAATGATATAGGCCTATATAGAAATCATCAAAGGTAAATACAGTGTTCGAATAAAGGACATAATACATTGTGTTGCATAGCTTTCAACGAAAGTAGTCCTATAAATAAATGAATAAATAAAGTAATTGTAATAAAATTCCACCGACAGGATTCGAACCTGCGACCTCCCACTGTCAAGGCGAGCGTCATAACCATTAGACCATAGAGGCTTCATGGTTGAACAGATTCAAATACCACCAGATACACTCTATCATTACACCATAGGTACGGCTAGAAACAAATAATTGCATATAATATAAATCAAGATTGCCTTTAACACTGTTAAATTATATATATATATATATATATATATATA